TAGATAGTATGCTAGTACGTAGGTATTCATGCTTGCTTGAGAGGTTTACTTAGTACGCTAGTACGTAGGTATTCCTGCTCGCTCGAGAGCTGTAGTTAGTACGCTAGTAGGTAGGTATTCCTGCTCGTTCGAGAGTTGTAGTTAGTACGCTAGTACGTGGGAATTCATGCTTGCTCGCTCAAGAGCTGTAGTTAGTACGCTAGTACGTAGCTATTCATGCTTGCTCGCAAGAGGTTTAGTACTGTTAGTACTGTAGTACTGATGAAAGCTGTTAGTACGGTAGTACTGATGAATAAGCAAAAATCTACAGAAAAGAATTCCTATAATGGGCAGCATATGAGGAAGGACACAGCCAAAGACACGTTCAAAAAAGATCCCTAGTACGTCTGAAACCCAACAAATTTTTCACAATTTTACTGACATTTCCTATTTATAATCTGAGAGAAAACCCTGGCAGTATACAACTAACAGCCATGGGCAACTTACAGGTATGTGCCTTCTTTCCGTGTATAGTATGTGACTGATGCTATAGTTGCTACAACGACCAACATACAGGTTGACACAGGAACTATTAACATCATAACACTCTTGGCTCCATATTTGAGCATCTCCTCTTCATCCATTTCACTGTCATGGGGTGATACATCTCGTACCCTTGGTTCTCTCCCCTGATTTCTCTGACGTGCCCTTGATGACCTTTCATTACTATCTTCAAACTGTTCAGGAGCAACATCGTGACAGGAAAACAAATAATAAAGTGGAATGAACCTTTTGCACTCTAACATCAGTATCTGTGTTCTCCATACAGATCTCTATACATTTCCTTTGGTACTGGCAAGAAGAATTCATTTAACAATCAAAGCTTCTTGTGTTGATAATATAATCATTTCCTTTATTCTCAATATCCTAATGAATGATTCAGCACTGTTGCTGTAAGGAGAAATTAAATGCTGGTCACTCTTAGGATTTACAGGGTTAGGTCATGAGAGTAAAGGATATGATCACCAGGACCCAGTTGTTCAAAGACTGATTAGTGCTAACCCAGGGTTAAATTTTAATCCAGGTTTCCTTATCCCTTTGTTCAAAAGCTTGAACAAAAGCTTGAACAAAAGCTTGAACAAAAGCTTGAACAAAAGCTTGAACAAAAGCTCATCTTTCAAACCAGCAGTCTAAATCCCACAGGGATCAACGAACGTTTATCATTTCACTAATTTGTTCATGTTTTTCTCATTGCCATGTTCCCACCAATAACGTAGCTCCATTTTTTGCCTTTAAGAGCACACACAACCCACAATTCCTCTATTTGCTCCGAAGAAGGGCTAACACTCGAAACATCAGCTTTTGTAATCATTACGGTGGCCAATTTACCATTTCAACTTTGTTGATATATCCAAATTATTCCTCTGTTCAAAAGCCTTTCTTGGATAATTTTCTCTATTCTTTGAAGGACATCCAGTCATCATATTGTAGACAAAAATAACTGTACTGAATTTTCTTTTAAATCTTTCAGATCTTAAATCCGATTTCACACTAACCCTAGGTTATCTTAACCTAGCTTTGAACAACACGGCCCAGCTTTAAAAGCTCTTGTTTGTTAAACAAATTCTCCTTGTCAGCACCCTAGGAAATGTATAGAGAACAGTATGGAGAATACAAATACTGATGTTAGGGTGTTAACAGTTAAACAACTCCTGGATGGAGAGAGGACATTTGATAACTCAATCACTTGAACTGAGACTGGACCCTAGCCCTTCACATCAAAAGTTTATTTTCAACCCACAGTTATTGTTACCCCCTTTTCTTAAAGATTTTTTTCTGAATAGGCCAGGTTAATAATCTAAGAAAAGGCAGTGTAAATCTCGCAGATTTTAGAGAAAGGGGAACTTAGAATATGTGTTTACGGGATTTGACAGAAGTGTATGCATTTGTGTCTTTTTAAAAGTCACAATGATCAAGTACAGACTTGATTTCGTTCCACACAGGCTCGAACTTTCTGCTGTTTAGTGCACTGAAAGTCTACCAGGAAGTTACACCGACAACACTAAGTACGTTTAAATGTCACTGATAGAAGTTCTGAAACTGAGCATTCTTTGAATATTAAACACCTAACTAAGGAAGATAAGGTTTGTAATGATTATATGTTAAGGTGATTCCTGGCCGTAAAAAACAATCAAAGAAAACTCAAAAATTGTAACAGAAATGTCACTTTTGAATTTTCCGCCATCAAAAGTACTAACCACATCTGTTATTTCGTTATTTTCTCCATTTCTTGGAGTCCGACGATCACCAATGTTTCTGTTATTTTCAAAAGCCTGAGTGACTACTTCGCCCGACATTAGACTGGTTCTTTCGTCCACCTCTTCTTCGTTCATGTATATATTACGCCAAACATCGGCAGCGACTCTAAACAGAGATTCCTTTTACTAAAGCCGTAATTTTTTTTCGTCTGCACGAGGCTTGGCAATTTTGTTAAACCATCATGGCTGAAACAGTGACGTTATATCTCGATATCAGGCTGTGGCCGGAGTAGGCTGGTGACTAGGAAAGGGCGTGACATACGTGACACAGAGAGAGAGAAAGAGAAAGGACATACTTGATAGTTACCTCTAATGGGTTTACAAACGCCATACATGGAGGCAAATGTACTGGAAAACCTGATATTGACATTTGTCAGGTTTCCCTGACAGCCAAGCTCAACGCTACTGTTGTCCATTATTAATTTGAATAGTAATTAATTCACTGAAAAGCTACCCTATACCTTTTGATGGATAAGTTATAGGTAAAAGACTTTTTGCACGAGGTTTAGGATGAGCTGAAAGAGGAATTGGCCAGTGCTGCTGAAGGGGAGGAGGGTGGGGAAGTTTGCAGACACTGTGACATCAGTAGACTTGCGAGAAAAGAGAGATTTTGCATGGAATAGCATACAGAAGCAAGGGTGTAACCAGGGGGGGTCATGGGGTGCCAGTGACCCCCCCTTGGTAGGCTTTCTTTTAAGCAAACAACCTACAATATTCAGGTGGTGAAAACGTCATGACAATATCTTGGCCTGCCCATTATACTCTCACCGCTCATCCCAAAACTGTAACATTAGTAAAACATGTACCGTGTGGAGGTCGATGTGACAATCTGGTGGGTAGCCTCTGTGACCCCCCCCCTTTGAAAAATCCTGGCTACGCCCCTGATAAGGTCTTAAGAATTTCCCTGGTGACTTGTACGACCAAAAGAATTTCTGCCACAAGAGTGCGGAGTTATCCGATCAACAGGTGGTGGCTGTTATGCAAATGAGAATATGTTATATACTTCTGGTATGAAATGATGCACTGAATTCTCCAGTTGTTGACAAACTTTTAATAATTCCTTAATTGACAAGGCTTTTTAAAGCATGTGTCTGGTAAAATTACCTTGAATAGATTCTAACACAATGGACACGCATATTTCCCAACAAAAACTTAAGGTTGATTAATTTTAAAAATTCAGTACTTAATACTAAGTAAAGAAATTGAAGAACAAATGTGGGAAACATAATCCAGGGATCTTTTTTTAAAACCAATGCAGATCTTCATTTACAGGAGTTTAAATCCTTAAAATGTTGTTTGCTCAGATCCATGTTGAAACTTACAACTTCTTTATTCATTACAAGCTATAATTTATACAGAATGCGGTGCTCGTGTTTATGTGGATTGCATAGTTGTGCATGCTGTGCAAGTGCGAAGGTGATAATTACATAGTGTAACAAAAAAATGAAAACTATCTTTCCTCTTGAGTTTGGATAAAAGGAAGAAAAATGAACCTAAATGGCTAAAAGCAATGGAAAAACCTTAGTTACTCTCCTGACTTCACCTATCATGATTATGATATTACATGATTATTTATTATTTATTACATGATTATTTATTACGATGGATAACACTATGCACTAGATAAATCTCTCCCTGGAGAATAGCACAGTGAGTTTTGCGAACACTTGTCTGCTGGATAGCAATTAATCCCTTGGATAGCATTATTATCCATGCTTTTAACAACTGGGCCCTGACTAATAAAATACCAACTCCAACTGTTTCTAACCTAATGTATACAATGTATTAAATCACAAATAAAAGAATAAAATGTATTTTGACACATGGATGGTTACTGTGTTCCTGGACAGTTCAGAACTGTACTTATAAATACATATACTTGGTATTAATTCATCTTTTCCATTAACAGATGTGGGAGTGTGATTCTTATTTAAAAATTCTTATGTCAGAAAAGCAAGTTGTTAACTGGAGATATAGAGTTCTAAACAAGAAAATATCTACTTAAATACTTAATTTAAAATACAAGCCACTGCATGAATGTGTTATGTACCAACTCATCTGTAATTCAAGACCAAGTTACACAATATACTTCAATATACTTTGTGATTTTTGGTCAAACTACTTTCCCTTTTTTCACCAATTCTCTTGTGTCTTGGTGCATTTAAATGCATCAACCATGAGCAAGAAACACACAGTATAAGTTGGTCTTAACACAGACCTACATTAAATGTAGGTCGGTGTAATATTTGACAATTATTCCACAAGCGTGCGTTGGATATGAGACGATAGATAGCCAACGAGGCGTGTAGCACCGAGTTGGCTTTTATCATCTCATATCCAACAAGCGCAAGTGGAATAATTGTTGTATTAAAAACGCCCCCAAGATATTAGACAAATCTTACCAAATCTTGAATTTTTCAGCTCTCTTTTAATTTTAAGCCAACACATACACTTACCATATTTGTGGATTATGGTATATTGGCTCATATACCATAATGGCTAAGCCAATAAAAAGTCTTGAATTGCATTATCCAAAGATCCAGTTTTTAATAAAAGTTAATACACCAAGGTAAAACACTTTTGTCTATGTGTCAGTAGCTGGCAAACTTCATCAGTTACTTCAACTAAAGATGTGGCTAGGAACACTTTACATTAAATCTGATACACTAAATTCTAACCAGTCTTCCTTTTACCCTTTACACCCTCAACAGCAGTAAGCATATTCTCCATACTATTTTCCATACATTTCCTAGGGAGCTGAAAAGGAGAATTTCTTTGACAATCAAGTGCTTCTTTAGTTGGTGATCATTTGCTTTATTCTCGTGACCTACATGTGTGATTCAGGGGTGATATTGTAAGGAGAAATGAGATGCTGGTCATTCTTAGGGTTCAAAGGGTTAAGCATCATCTGTTCACTTCGAAACTTGGGAGAAACCTAACTGTCATCTCTGGCTTAAAGTTCTTCTACCTTGAATTTATTTTCTTAAACATTTCCCTCACTTTTTCGGTTCAAGTTCAGCTGGTTCAGCTGGTTCACCAGTCCTGTAACACACTGTCGTGGTGTCTAAGACCCCCTGAAAAAACTTGTTTCTTTGGGTACCTTCCTCTCATAAGTGTGTGTGATCTTAAAAATGAATTAGCTTCTAAACACTAGTGTTTGATTTCTGATTGCCATCTGTAGACTTAGGTGTATTATCTACAGGATTATGAGCATAAAGAATTACTGCATAAGAGACAATAGCTATGGCAACAAATGTGAAAATATCAACTGGAATTCCAAAAATAATCCAGCATAATAAAGCAGTGAACATGATTTCTAGTGCACTGGCAAAAGTCTTAAGAATAGAATTCAGTTGCTTCAGGAACAATGCTGTGGTTATGCCAATGCCAGCATTATTGAAAATAATGGCCAAAACTTTACCCCTGGCAATGGATGATAAGCTTTCTGCAGTAAATGCTTCAGACAAAGTGCCATTGTACCAAAGAACGGCAAAATTACACAATACTGAGTCTAAATACATGAAAAAATTCTGAACCATAAATGGCACATCACCACCTTTACCCTTCAACAAATACTCATTATAAACACCAGCAAAACAGGAACAAAACACTTGAACAAGAATTAACAGAAGATGAATGTCAAATTGTATGGAGAAAGAACTGCTTCCTGCTGTGAGATCTTCATATTTGATCTGCTTGACAATACAACCAGAAGTCAATAACAGCAAAGATACCCACTGAAGCCCACTCAGCTTCTTACTAAACAATATCTGCAAGAAAAAAACAAAAATAAGTTCCTAAACACTTTTAATTCACAAATCTGGTCAATAATCCTCTCTTCTGAGGGGATTAGAGAAAATCTGCCCCTGCACCTAGCAGCTCTTACCATCTAAACTGATCCCAGTTTTAATTATAGTTTAAAGAAATTCAGAGTTCCTTTCGTCAAATTACAAAGTATTAAGTTTATCTAAGATAAAAATTTAGGTTCAACGGTCCAAGCTGCAACCATTCTGATTATAACCATAGCAAGTGGCAAAAAATTTTGAAACAAGTGAAAAACATTTTTTTCAATCCCCAAACACATTGTGGCAAAAGTTTCCTTTATTATGATGAAGGACCAAACAAGAAGTTGAACATTTCCATACAGGCATGGAAAATAATGTCTAAATGTTGGAAAATCAGGACTTGCAACTTGTAGTTGAAAAGAGGTTCTTTCCAAAACAACACATGAAATTATAGTAGAACCCCTAATCAGGGAACACCCTCAGGATCACGGCAAGTGCCCTAATTAACCACCACCAAAATTTAAAATGCTTGGAATATGTGTTTAAACTAATATTGACAGAACCATTTCAAAAAAAGAAAAATCGGCAGGCAACCATTATGTGTTAGAAGAATTTTTCCACAATTTGAAATGCTAATCAAGTGGATTTTACCGAGACTACATTTAAAATCTTAAAGAATGTAAAATTTATGATTTCTAAGCAAAACAACCATATTTGTCAGATTTACTTAAATATCACTAAAAATCAATCTCAGGAAAAAATTTCGAAAAGGACTTTGGTCTAAATAAAAAGCTACATGTTAAGAGTAGCAAAACTAGCTTTACAACAAAAGTCTTAAAATCATTAGCTTTGCCTAGAAAAACAAAAAAAGAAAAGGACTCATGACAGATTAAATAAATTCATTGCCTTTGTCATTACCTGAAAAATAACTCCAGTTACAACAACTCTAAACTGCAGCAGGAGGAAGTATGTCGTTGGGTCATAGTTTGCCAAATTCACAAAAGCCAAGTTGTTATAGAGGCAGTACATGAAAGAGGGTACGACATAGAGTACCAATACTAGAAATAAAAACAGACAAAAGAAGCAACATTTAGCAAGTGTAAATCATTTTAATAAGGCTGGTCTACACCTTAATTTCACTCCTTGACGAATGGATTTATTTCCTAGACAGTTTTATTGTGAGTTATGCAAAGAGAGTGGTATAGTTCAACAAAATACTGGAAAGAACTTAGGGAAGAAAGGTTAACAAGGAAATATTTTTGCAAATGAATTTAAATAGGTGGGTGTATATTAACAAGATTTCAAAATGCCCAATTTACAGTGTCAGGGCAAGGATCAAAGTTAAGTTTTAAGCTTTATGTTAGCGTTCTGATGTAATTCTAAAATAAAGAAAATACCCATGTGCAAGTAAATTTACAAATATCTTAAACAGATCTCACACAATCACAGAATAATCTCAAATTTTAACAATTTCTTTGAACCTCGAGGGAAGAGCCCACACAAGGATTCTTTTTACCAAAAGGATAAGAAAAAACTAAATACCTTTGACATTAGATCGGACATGCTGCAAGAACTCTCCGAAGGTGGACCTAAACAGAAACAAAGCAATTTTAATTAAAGGCCCTTTCGTGTGTGGGCTTTTACACTAACAACACCTTCACGGCTGTAAACAGCTGATCACGATGTACGAACATGTACAAGCGTAACAGGACACCGTATGCATATAAAACTGCTTCACAACAGGATATTTGTAATCAAAATTTTAGTATACTTACGTTTGAAGTTGAAGTCCGACGGCGATGATGAGTTTGACGAACTCCGCAAGTAGAACCACGGTGACAGTGTTGTAAGAATACTGGTTATTTTTGTCTTTCGTTGCAGTCACAAGGATACCTGACGGAAAAAGAGCAGCCAATATCAACTCCTGTGGGACACAAATAGAATATTGTACTATGCAAATGGTGAGAAAAAGAAAGCCTATACACCGAAATCAATATTCAATTTATAGTTTAATTGCTAATAATGAAACGAATCTTTTGTGGTAAGTTAGACCACAGACCTTGGCTTATAAATAGGGCCATATACCCTACGAAAATCAAAAAGTGTGTTTTTGTAGGAAAGAGGTTTTTAAGGTCTGAAATAGATCCAATTCCTCGAGAAGACGGCATCGTTTTTGTTGCGCTCTGCTCCGTTGCCGAAGCCATCGCCTGTTGTTTGTAAATTTACGAGAGAAGGACTAGGGTTAGTTGGGCGCGAGATGAGTCATGGGAGGCTCTCCCCAGATTTCATCGGTTCAATTGCCATAGCAACGTCTCTTAAGGAGAAAAGCAAAAAGAGCAAAAATGGCGGACTTATTGAACACAGACGGAGATAATCCTAAAAGGACACTGGTATTTGTGAACCATGTGGATTTATACACTGGAAAAAATATAAGCAAGGTAAGGAAGATTCTGTTACTATCTCTGATTTGTCTGCAGAACTGGAGCTTAAGGTATCTGAAACAGCACTAAAGAAGACAAAACCTTTGCGCGGTCAACTCTAAATTTTAAAGACATAACACTATTTGGTCTTTTTATCAAACAGACCTGAATAAGTTGTGTCGCAATGTGGGTTTTATACCCACGAACAAGCGCTTTATTTTTGAAATTATGGTTTTTTTAACTGGTTGAATTTGCAATCAATTCCCTTAGCTTTAATTATATTTAGTTTTTTTTGGCATCTTTCTTTACTTTTCATAGATATTGAAAGGGTCTGTAGTTGGTGCTACGGCAGAAGAAGATGAAGTTAATGATGATGAGTCCCAAGCTAGCGGACAGCCTCAAATTCCAAAGGAAAATTGTTACAAAGTAGTTGGTACTTTACAGGATCCAACACAACACAAACCAGAGTGGGTTGATGAAGTTTTTGAGGTATGTCTGAATTGACGATGTAGCATAGCTGTCTGAAGTGTCTGTTGAAGGTGTCACGCACAAACTTGTCAATGTTATATGCTCTAAATAGTTGTCAATACTCGTAAGTAGGTATGCTAATGTAGACTATATTTAAGATGTGTACTGTAGTTTGAATCAGAATGTATCAATTTTTGTGCATTTTGGGTGAACATTTAAGTTTTGTTGGATACTACAGATAGCTTCCTAATTTCTTATCTGCAAGCTGATTAACACTCAATCATTATGATATATCGTGTATTACACTTTTGAATAGATGTATACTTCTGTAATCTGTCCAACTAAACATTTGTTAAGGTTAATGATCTGACTATACTGTGGAATTATCTGATGCTGGACAATCTGGGTCCAGTTGTTCGAAGGGTGGGTAACACTATCCAACAGAGAAATCACTGTCCAGCATCAGTGTCGAGAAAACGTACCAGGTGATTTAAACAGCGTAGAGCGGTTTATAGTGTCATATAAGGAACTGCTCGACCAATCAGATATCTGGAAACTCTTTGCTCAGCTCTGAAATTATACTAATTAGTCTTTATGAAATTCATGCATAATTAATGTATGGGGTTATATGGAACTCTTTCCGAGATATATCCTTTGGATGACATTTTCAACCTTGCGAGCAACCAGGGCCTGACCTGTAAAACGATGTAATTGGATAACTTGCATGTTTACTCTTGCAGTACAATACTAAAGAAGATCTTCTTCCCCATTTACTGGAGTGCGACATTATTGTCTATGACATCACTGGGAGTCCTGATCAAGTGGATGAAGCTACTTGGGCTGTGTCGGGTAATTTATCATTCAATAAATGCATTGTTATTTAAGTTAGAAGAATAACTCTTTCAGATCTCTGGGGCTGAAGTATTCAAAGTGTCTTGTGTGTGATCCTTTTGCAGCCCTTCATGCAGAACTGGAGAATTTCAACACATTGAAAGTGTTCATTTGTTTATCAACTGTGATGACATGGGCAAGAAGCAAACCACTTGATCCTGTGAGTTTTAATCATTATCTTGCTCTTATTCTTTTACAGTCTATTTGAAAGCACAAACTCAAATTAATGTAAGCTCCACCTTAGGGAAGTTTTTTTTTTCCCTTGGCTTTACTATTCTTGATTGGAAAGTTTTCTCCCTGTTAACTAATTGGCATCACATTGTATTTATTGGTTGTAATGTCTTGTTTTTCACCACAGGGACCATGATATTCTAACTTGCAAAAACATGAAGGAAACGATGACTTTATTTCAATTATTGGCTCTAATTTTTCATTTGAATTCAAACAGGATGACCCAGAGATATCATTCACTGAAGATGACTACCGTCGCAGAAGGGCTCATCCAAACTTCAAATCTCACATCAGTGCAGAGAAGCTTGTCATCAAACATGGAAAAACAAACAAGTCAAAATTTATCACTTACGTGGTGGCAGCAGGCTTAACATATGGATCAGGAGAAGACATCTTTCACTTCCTGTTTAAAACTGCATGGCATGGCCAGGCGCCTGCATTACAGTGCTTTGGCAATGGTCAAAATATTGTACCAACCATCCACATCAAGGACCTTGCAGCAGTGATTGTGAATATTTGTGATCAGAATCCCAAAGTACGCTATCTAGTGGCTGTGGATGAGTCTAAGAACACTCTTGAGGAAATTGTAAAGGTAGCTTAAGTCTTGTTAAATTTTTTATGAAGTGACATTTTTTCTCCATTTTGGGAAAAATAAAATCTCTGAGTATACTATGACAACTTCTAGTTTCAATTGAGGAAATGAAAACTTGGAGGATAAGGTTTGATTCCTAAACCTGGCATCAGATGTGGGTTGAGTTTGCTGTTGGTTCTCATTCTTGCTCTGAGGGTTTTTCTCCAGGTCTTTTGGTTTTCCTCCCTACAAACCAATATTCCCAATTCCTAATGTGATCGGAGAAAAGTGTACAAAAAAAAACCATTATTGCTAATGCATGTAATCGTGGTGATGATGATGATAATTATTACAATTATTATTTTATGACTGAAGTAACTACAATAATTACAGTTGTTTACTTTTAATTTGTTTGATGCATTGTATCAGGCTGTTAGTGCACACCTTGGAAACGGAAGAGTAAAGAACATCACAAAAGAGGAAGCCTTACTTATTAAAGAACTTGAGGTATTTATCACTTATTTACACCTGCTTTTTTTTTTTTTTTTGCTACTGTGTACAATTTTTCATTAATTTTAGTGCTGGTAATTGTTATTTGATCAATGATGTCTTGATTTTCTTCTTTTTGTAGCAAGCTGACTTTGACTTGCTTTTAGTCAATTTGAGAATGGATGCCACTTACATAAAGGAGGGAATGAATATCATCTGGGTGTCTGAGGTAAAAAAATCATCATGTAATCATTATGAACCTTAACTCCCGCGAGTGACCATTACATGGAGTTTCTCCTTGCAGTGTTATTCCACTGCTGATTCGGTGTTCCTCTCTCCTTAAAAAAAAAAAACAGTTATTACACATGCAGCTTTGATATTTTAAACAAAGGTTCTTATCTTGTTAGCTTTCTCCCTCACTCTTTTTTCCCTTAATAACCCCTTAACTCCCAAGATCTGATGGTTAATTCTCCACTCTGGCTGCTCCACATTTCATTTCAAATTAGTCACAAGAATTTAGTGTTAGATCAAGATAACAACCTCTATCTATTCTCGTTATCTTTTTGTTGGGCAATGCATGGATATTATAGGGAGAAGTTACGTACATGTTGATTGTTACCTCAGGGAGTTAAAAGGGTAAGCATGTCATGTCCCATAACATGTCTGGGGTTTTCATCAAGTATTGTAGCAAAGGAATAGTGTTTTATATTTAACAATTATTCGCCGAAGGCGAGGTGAATATCGTTGATTATTTGATAATATTCACCGAACCTGAGGTGAATTGTTTTAGTATAATTTCAGAACTGAACAACAGAGAAATTTCTAAAATCATAACATTTTAGTAACATTTATTAACGTTTTAGTGTAACATTTTATATAAACCGTGTGGAGCAGTTTACATAGCGTCATATAGGGAACCGTGCGACCAATCAGATTGCTGGAAACTCTTTGTTCAGCTCTGAAATTATACTAAATATATATATATATATACATGAGAATATTCCCTTTGTCTGAATAGAAAACAGCTCAGCATTGGAGTAGGGCATGGCTGTACAATTCCCCACACTCTGATGTCCTCACAAATGCTGGTGCACATGTATCTCAGCCTCAGCATCAGAATATAGCAGGGAACAATTATTACGTTTTTCCTGAATACTTTGAATGCTCAGCGTTATAACTAGATCATCATCATTTTTTTTCTTTTTTTCTTGGAAATTATTTTCCAGTAAGGAAGAAAAGAAACAATGATGAAGGGCTGCTTGACTCCATTCTTCAGGCTGCTCCATCCTCAGTAGCTATAGGTTCTTTAGTCAGGGGTTTTTCAATCCCTTTACCTTAAGTTCTCTTTCACTGTCCTCTGCCATATTGCACTGCATCACATCTAAAAAGCATCTGTTGTGTAATTCTGGCAGCTTGCCTCTGATAGGCTATAGCTCTCTAGCTAACTAACTTGATGGATTAACCATTTACAAAGATGTAGAGACATGCTATCAGGAGCTAAGGAGTGTTAAGATTTCCCAATTATTAAATCCACAGAGTGGACTTGCAGAGAACATTGATGATGTCATTAAAGAGTATAAAGAAACAAGGGGACTTTTGGTAAGGTCTTTTGCACATTTATATCACATTTACGACCTTTTTACTACCTCTACTTTAACCTACTTTCATGTACGAAATTGCTGTATCCAACAAAGACTTTCTTAAAACTGCCTGATAAATTTTCTTTTATAGGATGCTAAGAGTGAATATTTAAGAATCCCAACCTTAGGGTGTGCCAAAACACCCATCGCATGTCTTTAATGGGCATGCTTCCAAATAATTTGATTAATTATCTTACTAGAAAGATTAGTAGAGGAAACCATCACATAGTGATATGCATTGTTTTTCAAGTCATTGTCATTTTTATCCATTCACTCTGACAAAGGGCTAATGCTCTAAGCGTCAGCTTTTTAACTCTTTACGGTAGCCAATTTACAAATTCAACTTAGTTGACATTACCAAATTACCTTGTTACCCCCAACGAAGCAGCACCACAGTTTCTTTAGAAACTTACCCCCTTTATTAATAAATTTTTTTATGATTGCTGTTCTGGTAAGTTTGCTAAATCTCTTCAATTGTATTCCCATTTTAGCCCCTCAGAGCATGCA